CTCACGGGAATGGGCTCACACCGGGGGTTTTGGGGCCGGGAACACGGCCGAGGCCCCGCAGGCTGCAGGAGCCGCGGCCCCACAGTAACAACCCCACAGAGCGCTTGGCGAGCTGCGGTAGGTAACCTGTGCTGAGAGAGCCACGCTGGAAATCCGAGTTTTGTTTCGTAAAGGGGTCAGGAAACTTGAGAATACATGTATTAATAAAAAGGTATGTTTCTCTTTTTTTTTCTTTTTTTTCTTTTTTTTTTTTTTTTTGTTTTATTTTGGGTCTTTATTTTTATTTTTTATAAGCAAATGCAAGCTCATTTTTTCAGCTTCAACATGAAACTTGGATTTTCCCTCTGTGATAGCTCCTTAATTTGAAAACTCAGTAAATTAACTAGTGTAACAGGATCCTCCTTTTTCATGTTCTTAAACCTCAAAAATCTTCCTCTGGTGCTTCAATATGGCCCCAAGAGTGGAGCTGATGGAGAAAAAATTGTCTGACAGCAATATTACAGTGCAAGAGGTTCATAGTGCTATGAAAAATTAGGTTCTTACCTAAATCCTTAAAATCTGTACTAGTTTCAATGTGCTTATTTTCAAAGTCTTTCCTGAAAATTACCTTCAATACACATTTGCATAAAGTTTCTTCATAGTAGAACTACAGACCAGTTTGTCAGTTCCTGAAATAATAGCAGCTTACATAATATTATAGGTTTTGTGGAGGTTTAAAAGTTGTATTTTCAGAATCTGAATATGCTTTTGTAGCAATAGAATAAATGTTATTCCAGAAGAACCTTTTACATCTCAGGCCTCAGTAATAACCACTGTGTCTATCTTGAGATAGATTAGGACAGTTCAGTGGGAAGTACAGTGGTCACGCAGTCCAACAGTGGTTTTATGGCATAAAATAAGGGTTATATGTCACTGTATGACTTCACTGCCATGGAATTCAGACCCTGGATTGCAGATTCTGGTTGAACACAGCCACCACAATTGACAGTTAAGTCACATAGGTAAAATATAATTATGGGAAGTGGGTTCCTAAATATTGGCTTCCTAACCACTTGATTCAAGGAGAACCTCCACTAATTTTCTGTAAGAAGTGGTTGGAGCTCCAGCATTATCAAGCAGTGAAGGAGAACAGGATTTTCAGGTTCTGAGGTTTGAGTAAATTCCGTTTATTACAGATGATGCTCTGCCACCTGAGGGTAGTGAGTTATATGGCAGAGATAATCACAGGGATTTGCTCTAATAGTCACTGAGCACAGGGAAAATATTTGAGATTTATGGTTTACCTCAAAAATGAGGTCAGGATCAATTGGGGAAACATGTTACATCAGCTGGGACACAAAGGTGACAAACTAGGGCTGTCAACAAAAGGAATTTCCTGCTCCAAGATAACAACAGTTCAATCTAGGTTTTCCCTTCTAAAACAAAATGAACTATGTACAGGCAATGAGTTGCTGTTGTTTAGACATAACAATTGTAATTTTAGTTGTAAAAAAAAGCTTCCTGATATCCTATATGTACTTGAGAAATTTGGTCTGATAATGAGAAAAAACAAACTGTAATAATAATACAAATATCCAGGAGGAAGAGGGAAAGTATGGCAACTAAGATATAGGATAGGAAACTGAATGCAACACCTTTAAAATTCAAATCAAACTGATTCCTGAGCATTGAAAAAATGATAATTTAACTCCAGTTCCTTAGAAGTGCTGGTCACAGCCATGTTCTTGACACATGGCAGCCTTGAATAAAAATCATCATCGCAAGAGGTCTCAGGGGAAAACTTAGCAGCATAAAGTTGGAAAAATATTCCTTTTCAAGTCTCATAAAGGCCCTTTTAGGGTATCATAGAAGAAAGGGAGGAGTTGGCCATTCAGTTTTAAAAAGTTTGAATGCTTTTTCTTTTAAACTGCAAAGCGACAGAAGACGATAAAAACCTCAAAAGCATCAGTGTCTATATTCATCTGAAATTTCAAATCTCTGTAAGAAAGCTACATTTACCATAATGTTTGTTTTATAAAACAAGAGGTTCAGTTAATTTTATCAGTCAATCAGCATATGATGTGTAATTTCCTTCAACTGGTTTTCATCCCAGCATCTTGAATACCAAGAGGAATCTTCTTTTCTTCTGGAAGTAAGTTTTGAAGTAAATTGTCCTCATTTTCCACTGGGATGTGAATTTCAGTTTCTTTTTTCAGGGCATTTTCCTCTTTGGAAAGGTGGGTTTCTTCCCCTGTTGGGGAATAACAGGGAGTGTATCCATAATCCCTGCTAGTTGAACTATTCTGCTCAGGGCACTGGGAGCTGGAATCTGGGCTACAAAATGTAACAATACACGTCACATTCACCTGTGTTCCTCCGTTACCACAATGTTCTGTCAAACAAACACAAAACATGGAAGAATAAAACCAGAACGGGGCACTTGGATTCTTTATCCTGCTCTTTGACTTACTGTTAAAATAGGCACTAAATATCTTTTTGCTTCACTTAATTTAGTCAAGCTGGTTGAGTTGGTTCTGTAACTTTTTGTTACCATAAAATCCATCTATCACCCCAGAGATAAAAAGACTATAAAAATTAACGCAGAGACCTGCATTGCAAACAATTCCTTGCCCATCTGTTGTAATTTCAAATGCTTTTGACCATCTTCTTTTGTTACTGCTCCCTTTGGCTTCCACTCACAGGTAAGTGCCAACCACCTGACCCCTAGTCCCTGTTTCTCCACTGAGATAACTCTCTTTACTGTCTCAGGATGGCAACTTCATCACTTTTTCTTTTCAAAAGTTACTAAATTTTCTCTCTGCTGTACAGGACTCAGATGTTTTATCCTGCCATTTAAATTTTTGCTAAAAAGACTCGTTAGTGTTAATCAAATTTCAAGAGGTTCTGGATCATTCAGAATCATTACTACCTGAACTCGCAGAGCTGTGTCTGTCTCCACTCTGGAGTTTAGAACCTTCTGGAGGTGAATGTTGCTGCTGAAATCCTCCTGGGTTTTTCTTTTCATTGTTAGTTTTACTTATTACACTGATGTTTGCACATCCAGTTGGATTATTCAGGATGCTACTGCTAGACCCAGAAGTTTCCAAGAGATGCTGTTGCTCCTGTTCAGAATTCTTGGAGTTCTGCAATTCTGTATCTCTCACTCTTTTGTCATGCTGTTTTTCTGGAGGGGGAAAAGGCTGGAACATTTGCAGAGAAATGCAAAATGTTAATCTATAAAAAAGAAACCAAACAACCCACTAGCAAAGAACTGGTCAGCATTTTGGCAGCTGAAAGAAACAGCGATGATTTGAACTAGAGGAGCTTTAAGATCCCTTCCAACCCAAGCCATTCTATAATTATTTTCATTTACATAGTGATGAGTGTAAGTAAAAATCATAACAACTCATTAGGAGTTCAACAAAATGAACCCATCTCCTGAAGGCACCCACAACACTACTCTGATTCCCTGGGGACCAATGGCTGTCAAATTTGGTTTTTCAAACCCCACCTGGGTTTTACTGCTGTTTTTAGCCTCACATAAAGTGAGGGTGGGACATTGTGTGGGATATATAAGGTACACCTTACATCCTGCCTTGGGGACCAAACCACCCCATTCTCACTCCAGCTTTCTTTCTGCTGTGCAGTTTCCTTCTACTTGTAATTAGGTGAGAGTTGATAACTTCTGTATAACTTCTGAATAAATGGAAGAGATGGAAAGAGAGGACACTCACCAAATCTGGTTCTGTAGCTGGTGCAGAGTACCCAAGGGCTGCCAGTGAGCAAAGACAGTTCATTAGCACCCAACCCTGTTCCATTTGCAACATCTGCACCCTAAACTAGGCTGGAATAAACTCTAAATGTACATTTATTACACACAGTTTGAACACATTGAAAGCTGTATTGTATTAATTGTGTGACTTTGAGCCAGGATGCAAAGAGAAGCCTCTGCATTAGTTGGTAGCTTTTCTTGTATAGTGTCAGTGAGGAAAGGTATTGATGACAATAAACCACAGTCATCTCTGTTTAATTGTAACACCTCAAATTGTCTAATATTTCAATGATGAAGTATGGAATATTTAACAAGCTTCAGCAGAAGCACAACTGTTGCCCACTTGTCCAGCTCCAAGGCTGTTGTCTGTTTAGACAACTCCTTAAATCTGAGGAACCAGACAGATTTGAAGAAAGGTGTCTTCTTCTAAGACACTAATTTCAGTCGACCAGCAGGCTCAGGTTAATGGGAAATAAGGGGACACTTCCCAGTTTTTACAGATTTGTTTGTTTTCACTTCATGAATCTTACCTTTTTTTTTTGAGACTAAGCAATACCCTAAAATAGCAATTATCAGGACCAATAACAATGGCCCTGCTACTGCTCCTGAAAGTAAATAAAAAGAAGAAATGATTTAGCAGGTTGTTCTAACAAAGGATCAAATTTAAAAAAGATTTTGTAGTTTAGTTTTGTACTTTCTGTTCATGGCTACAAAAGCTAAATTTACAAGTATTGTGTATGTTTGACATTCACATTTGATGCCTCAATTGTCAGATACCAAGGTCTCATTTCAGTCACCACCACTTCATAAAGCTGAATTCTCCTCTCCTGAAAAGTGAGGACAGACTTTTGGCCTTGGTCACAATAGGTTTTTTTCCAGGCAAGCAGGAGTTTGTCACATACAAGGCCAAATAGCTCAAAATGCTCCTAAACATCTCTCTTCTGGATGGGCTGTGAACAGGAGAGAACACATCCACTCCTGGGAATGCTATCAGGACGTTCTGTCCCAGGAAAGGCTGACAGAAGATTGAGAAGACCTCTCACCAGGTCAGGTTTGCCTCAGTCCAGAATCTAAGATATGACCTTTTCTACCAGCTACAGCAACAATTCTCAGGAAATACCTGGTATTATCTAGTCTGGGGTTTTTTTAGAAATATTTCCAGATTTACAAGGACTGTAGAATGCACTGGGGTAGTACAGATGTGCAGGTAAAAATGCAGCTCACTACAAGCAGAGTCACAATTAATTAATTGAGCTCTTCTGAGATTATTTAGCTACAGGTGACTGGTCTGGGAAAGACACTGAGAACCAAATATAAGCTTGGTTCCTGTACAGACAAAAGTGACTTTAATTGAGTTAAAGCTCACCAGTGATGTGGGACAGGTCAGGTACAGAGTTTAATGTGACAGGTTGAGTTATTATTTCAGGTTTGTGGGAAGCTGAGCTTTGGGTCAGAAGTTTGTCCAAAATGGTGTGAGGCAGAACTGTGGCTGTTCCTGAGTCACTGCAAACAGTGTCATTTCTGCTGTTCCCAGGAACAGCCACTGATTCACACCTGCAAGAGACAACAAGAGAAGTTAGGAAAGACAGAAAGCCCTGCATAGTTAAGGCTGCTGTTGGACTGGCTCACCTTGTATGGGGTGTACAGCTAGTGTTGTAGGATTCCTCAGGGGAAAACGTGCCAGGAGGACAAGGTTTACATTCTGTGTCTGTGCTGTCCGTCCCTTTAAACAGAGAAAAACTCCAGTTACTTACCCGGTGAGAAACAAGAATGAATAATCAGAGTCTGCAAGAGATCCTGGCAGTGATACAGACACAGTGCAAAAATACAGCCTAGAACTGTCACACAAGACATTCACTTGAAGCACCCAACCCAAAGAGAAGATTAACCAGCTCTAAATTTGGAATCATTAAAGGTTCAGATGTGGTGCTGCAGACAAAGCTGAGCTTTTCACCTGACTGACTACTGTTTCATTCTCAAATGATTCCTAATTTTTTTAAATGTTAGTGTTTTGAATATTTGAAAATTATTTATCATTTTGAGACAGATGTATTATCAGCTGATTCCATCAGCTAATAAAACCAGATCAATTCTGCAGGACAGCATAGAGTTTACTGTCATCATTATTTACGGTATCCAAAATTCTACCTGAAGCCCTGTTTCAAGGATTTAAGGAGTGATTAAGTGGTCTTGGATTTCAGTCACTTGTACAGAATAAATCATACAGTAGAGCAAAACGAAGATTAAGTTGGATTGGGAACTTTATGATATATGACAGTAAGAAATTGCAGTATGTTGTCCCCTTGGATATACCTCTGGAGAATACTCTTAGTGCCTAGTTGCTAATAATGTAAAAATAAGCCCTAAAATGAATGCACAACTGTAGGGAATTAGGCAGAGTAAGTGTTCAGTAAACAGAGTGTTCAAAATCAAATTACCTCTTCTGGAAACCCGGTAACCTTTGCCACATTTTTTATGTGCTCTACACACTTCGCAGTACCCGTCTAGCTTGGAAACGCAGTACTTGTGGGGTGGGCAGCTACAGATTCTGTCCTGGGACCTCGTGCATGTTTGATTCTGTACAAGCCCTGGTTTTAAAACAAGAATAAAGCAAGATGTCATTGGCAACATTTAAAATCACAGCCTGAGATGTTCACATTCTAGTTTTGGGCTCGTATAGCACCATAAACCAAATGTGTTACATACCTCAATGTCTACATTTTCAGAAGAGTTTTCTCTCTCTAGGCAAGGAGAAATTTGCACCTGTAGAATGCCCACTTAAAACTTTAGGGCTTAAAACTCTGTACCTGCAGTTGTGTAATATTTTGTAGAACCCCAAACATGGGATTGTGTTCACCACTGTCCTACCTGGGGGCCACCAAGATTTTCAGTCTGTGCAGATCATGTATTTAAAGCGTTTGGAGATTTTACTACAGACATTTTCATATTGTAATTAACTAGCATTATAAGATTTTCTATATAGATGGGACCAAAAGTCCTTTCAAGTTAGACTGTATCATTAAAACTTCTCAGTGAATCAAGTATATAATGTTCTACACCAATTTCCATTAGAAATGACAGAGAGCAGCATGACCAAGTTCATTCATGCAGGTGATTTATTAGCCCAAAGTACAGGTACAATGTTCCACCTTTTGTACTGTTAAGCTGCTTCAGTGAACCAGTGTGCTCTCACTGACTGCTGCTTTGCAAAATAAATAAAATTAAGAGAGGAATATCACAACCCATGTTTGCTGTTGTCAGCAGACAAAATGAGAATTCCAGGATGCTGGAAAGGTAATTATCCATTTACCCTTGTCCAAGTCAGGTCTTAAGGTCTCTTTATGGGACTTTATAAGCAGGAACTTATTCTACTGATGGCATTTGGAATATTTTAGTGATATAGTGCCTTAGTTTTTAATAATATAAGACTGGTGTCTCATTTTTAGGACTTAAAAAGAGGCAGGACTCCCTGCAAGACTTTTCCTTGACTCTGTCCCTAAACCTTACGCATTCCAAAAGTGTGTACAAGTGACTGACAAAATCTCCTGGTTTTCTTAGGAGAAAAGACAAGGTTAAACCAAGCCCAGGCTTTGAGGAAGCCTCTTTGCTAATTCAAGCCTACCTTTCCTGCAGGGTGGTGAGCAGGCAAAGCACTGTGGAGAACGATTCCAGATTGCTGTGTATGTTTTAGGCCTGCAGGGGCTGCACTTGGTGTCCACGGTGTGGCTGCAGCTCCCTGTTCTATATTGACCTATTAAAAGAAAAATAACCCAAACCAAAACTGAGAATGCATCTCACTGGGAAAGATCACTAGGAATTATGTCTCTCTAATTAAGGAATTAAGTAGAACCCCTTCCCTTCACTGATATTATCAGATTGGTATCATATACCAAACAAGTGTTGATGTAGAGGACTGCATGTCTCTACAGGGAAAGTTTGATTTATGTCCACTCATGTTTGACCCCATTTCCTAATTCAGTTCAGTGAATTCCAGTCACATTCAATTCAAGGGAGCCACAATACTGAACAAAACCCCTCAGCACATATTTAGGTGCAGCTACCACAATACATAAACCAAATCTTTTACCTTCACAGAAGCTGTTTCAAGGTGAACACATTTCACACCCAAAGTCAGGCACATGCTAGAATGATGTGCCTGGCTGAGACCCTTACTGCTACTACAGGCAGTGAGTGGACAGGGCAAGATCAAGTAACATCACAAACAGGCCTGAATTAGAATTTCACCACTTGTCACTGTGAAAGGGACACGAGCCCACTCTTTTCTCCCTCACCTCTCCAGCCAGCCCTAACAGAGCCAAGCATGGAGTTTCTGAAACTACTGGCATTCCAGACAAAGTTAAAAGCTATCAAAGGTAGTTTCTCCAAAGCTTCTCACCACCAAAGAATGTAGTACAGTGGTAGGAGCATGTAAATATGAGTTCTAACATATTCATTTTGGAGAAACGAAAACACCTCAGTTGCCGTTTCCCTTTCATGTGAAAGAAGAAAGAAGATAAAAGTCAGTGTCTCATATACTTTACAAAAATACCCTGGAAAACATACTCAGAAAGCAGGAATAACACTGATTTTTTTTTTTTTTTAGAGCTGCTTGGAGAATCTATTTTTCAAAAGAAGAAGCCGTGGAGGTGAGCCAAATTAATTATTTCCAAAGACTTTTTTTTTTCCTGTACTTAATTGAAGCTTTACATTCTGCATCCTACATCCTGCTAATGATTTAGGCTTATTTAGTACTGAACACTACATAACACAAAAGAAAAGTTTTACCTATGAATTATCGTCTTTCATCCATCATGAACAAAGGAAGTTTAACAGATCTATCTAAATAATTTCATTTAATTCAAGAAACTGCAGCTGTTGCAGTAAATACTGATTTCCTGTTTAAACTTCCAGATCTGACAGACACTCAGCATTTACGGAGACATTTTCTTTGCTCAGCATGCAATGAGGAAAAAAAAGGCAGGTTTTTTTCTCTATTTAATATAATAATATAGTTGCATCTTGTTGCAAAAACTCTACTACCAAAATCTCCAAAGAATATTACTATCTCCTTCCCAAAAAAATTCCAAAACCCACAGACACTGACTTTGGCTAACTACAGGTCACTTCTAATCACCCCTGGAGTGTAAGACACGCCAGCTCAGATCAGACAGTCCTGTCCCCAGCCTGACAGTGCTCTGCAGTATCTGATTTACAGTAAAGGACAACAAAACTCCCTTAATAAGCAATGATGGATTGACATGTCCAATGGAAAGCCCCCTAGATAAGTGATATTATCATAGTACAGAAACTAAGCTTTACTTCATGCCCTGTTATACAATATATATTTTTGTTAGTGGGCTTGGGCCTGTGTTACCTAATTTTCGTAATTTCTTTAGTGAGCTCTTGCTTCCTCTCCAATGTTGACTAAAATTACTTTAATTACTTTAATGAAGACCTCATGCAGAGCTGTGCTTACACAAACTCAGAACCTACCTCCTGGTAAGCCTCAGCCAGGTTAACCTTGTAGGAGAATTCCAGTTCTGATGGACAATGTGTCTCTTTTGCAGGTGTTTTGCAGTCATAGTGTTTAATTTTCTTTGAGGAAGAATGCATTACAACAGCAAAAATCTGATGCACTTTAGATATGTAAGTAATCAAAATACACTGTGATTATCTGAAAATGGAGTGATTTTGGCTGTGTAAAGTAATAGTGTGAATTATAACCTACCTGGAGGGCACTGGCTGCAGCATTTATTAAGTTCCTCATCATAGAATTCAGTGCTGGGATTGTTGCATCGTGCAAACTTCGGTGTATAAGGTAACGAATATTCCTGGGAGAAATCAAAGGGAAGTCACGAGTCACAAGTCCATTCTGACCCTGAATTAGAGACTCAAAAGAGACAAATACCTAAAGACCAGTGCAATTATAAGAACATTCCTTTCCAAGGCACTGATGTAGCTCCAAAGAAACAACGCAGCAGATGCCAAGAGGCTGCAGGGTAGTGAACAGCTAATGAGCTGCATGTGATTGTTTCGAGGTTCCTTTGTTTTCCAAAGATCCACCACCATCAACAAAGTGATTTCTTCAGGTTTTAGGTTTGAACAAAGTGATTTCTCCAGGTTTTAGGTTCAAAAGAGTGCAGTGGAACTATGGCATTAGCAGCACACCAGGTCACTACTGCATCCCCCAAACCAAAGGGCTGAGTGCCTTATCCTCAGCTGCCATGGCTCCAATAACATCTGACAAAACACCAGAGAAACCTGAATTCCTACCTGTGGGCTTGTGGGAGAAACATTTACTGCAAAGTGGCTCAAAAACTTCAGTCAATCTTTCCAAAGAAAAGGGAAAAAGGCTTTTATCTTTCCAGATACTTGGTGATTCCTCCCTGAGCAAGAAAGGCCTTGATGTTTTGCAAATGATGTCTCCAAAAATTGTACTGCTGCTTCTGAGAAGGTACTTCTCAGAATTGTACTTCTGCTTTTGCAGAAGGTGCAGACAAATATGCAGGTTAAATGCATTCGAGACAATCATTATACAATTATACATTATAATATACATTATAATTATACATTATACAATACAGGGTGCCTAATTTCATCTCACACTGATCAACATAGCTCAATGACTTCAATGAACAAGTGTCAAATTATTTGATGACTTACGATTTTCAAAGGGAAAAATACACTCACTTAAAGAAGGCTCCTGTTAGGTAGGACAAGCGTAGGAGTTTCCTGCTAGACCAAAAAGGTACTGTTTGAAAAGGATGTGACACTGCTCAGCTTTTTGCAGTCTGAAGAGATTGCTCCATGCATAATCAACACACATTTAGAGGAATCATTACTAAAATGAGAAATCAAAACAGGAACAAGCTCTTGGGAGGTCGGTAATGAAAATATCCTTCCGCCTTACTGAAAAACATGTTGAGTATCTATTGTATTTTCACATTACTGACAAAGGAGATTAACATTTCCCACCCTCAGCAATTGCTTAAAGGGAATTCAGCATTTTCTTATGCAGTTCATTGAAATATTCTACCTCTTATTTAGCTGTGATCAGAAAAAGGATTTTGTCAACCTACTCAATGGTGTCAAAAAAACCTTTTTCTGAGAATGTGAAGGCAGAAAAAAAGTCTTCTTGAGTTTAGATATCGTAGGATGGACAATGATAAATCATCCTGTTTGCAAACTTGAGCTGACACTAAAATTTGATGAAGGAGAAAAGGACTTTGCTCTCATCAAAAGTATTTTTCATTTAAGTTACTTTTTTATTCAAAGAGGAAAGATAAAGTGTTGTAATCCGGTTTTTGTAGTCACTATGATCAGCTTCATTAAAACAAGCAGTTGAGAGCCTTTTCAAAACATAAAACTTCACTGCAAGAGCAGACACGGGGGAAAAAAAGGAGAAATACAATAAACCACATCACAAATTACCCTGCTGGTGAGGTTTCCTGGCAAAAAAAATAAAGGTTCTTATCTCATGCTCTTCCCTGTCTGTTGTAAATCCTGCCCTGTGAGCTGCAGACACAGGAAAACCTGTCGGTTGCAGGGTTCACACCTGTTTCTCTGAAGTTGTGCTTGGAAGGATCGCTCTACTGATTGATACAATCTCCCTGAAATTTTATCTGATGAGCTGTGGCTCTCAGTGATTTACAATAGACATTTTCTTCCCAAATGTCCTCAAAGAACATTATGGAAAACTAAAAGGGAGTTGTGACTGGTTTAGCTACAATTTACACACAGCTCAGTTTGGTTTGCCCTGGAAGGATTCAATTCATTCAGTACCTACCCTCAGGATAAACCAGTTTAATCAGAGCTGTCAAATCTGTCAGAGGAAATGTAGGCATTTTACTAGTTTTAAAGCTCCTCTGGATTTCTTTGCTACAAGACCCAGTTTTCTAGCAATGTCAGCAATCCTAAAGTCTTGAGTTGGGCCATATGAGATTTCTGTCTGGCATACAGATCCACTGGCTACTGTGGGATGAAAGACTGATGAGCAAGAGTCCAGATTCTATTTCTTAATCTTTGCATTTTGCTAGTGTTTGTATCTCTCACAAGTCCTTATTTTATCCTGTTTTCACTGTGATTCAGTGTTCTTTCTACAAGCAGATTGTGTGAAGGGAAACTAACCTGATGCTGCACATTTTGCATTACAGCCTTAGAGCTTCTCAGTTTAGGTAGCAGTGTCTAATGGCAGCTGATTTAAAAGAAATGTATATGGACAAAATCAAGACTTTGGAAGACTTCATTTAATTTGACAGTTACAAGAAGAAATAAAATGCCTCATCTGTCTATAAGTAGAGGCACAAATTCTCTTAAACATGAAATTTAGTCTAGATCTATGCAGGTCAAATTAAGCAATACATTTTGGCATAGAAATGGGTAAACTGCATGCCTTTGACTTCAGAGCTCGCTGGGGAGATTTTTGCAATGCTTCTGCATTGAGCAAGAAGTTACATACACAAAATCACTGACTCCAGACTCTGTGGAGTTCCTGCATTGTTTGGATCATTTTCCTGTTTGCACTACAGAGATCACTATACATGTGACCTAATTTATCCCTGGAGAGGAGTGGGCTAACATCAATCTTCACACCAACTGAAAGGACTTTATGTGTAATTAAATTTAAGTATCTTAAATGTTTATATAAATCCATTCATATAGCATTCATTTTCAGTCTAGGCCATTTAAACTAAGATATTTAAGCATTTATTTGAATCCTAACTCACGTCTACATTTCTGTTGATCTCTTTTTTATACATTTGCCTTCAAACTTAAGCTGTCAATCAGAGGAGTCTGAAGAGGAACAACATCTGTGTATGATGTTCTTCACACGTGAAACCACAATGAAGTCACTGAGGTCTCTGTTGCAAAATCGGTTTCTATGGAAAGGTTTTGAGGTACAGAGACACTATTTGCTGAGCTACCAGACCTACTGAAGGCAGGAAAAAAACAGAATTCTGTCTAAAATATTTAAAGTTCTCATTTAAAAAAATTCTGTTGACATTTAGTTACCAGATAACAGCATCTCCCAAATCAGATGGAGTTGTATCAGGCTGTAAAGTTCCTTTCAAAGCTGCTGTGCTGCACATCTCTCTCAGAGATTATGGTTCCATTATGTGAATTATTCTGCACTTCTGTAAAGCAGGAGTCCTTGCAGAGTCACACACCAACAGACTCACAGTTCGACATCCCCCTCCCTGAGAAAACAGTGTCTCGTTGCCAGGAATTCTACTGCTTTGCCACTCACCACCAGAATATGAAAACATCTTCCCAGGATGGGAAAGCAGGGGATTCACAGAATATGAAAGCTGTTCACAAAAATTATAGAAGTTCAAGTTTGTAGCAAGACAAGGTTTATTTTATTATATATGTATTTGGAAAAACATACATATTTCAGCAGTTCTTCTGTTTGAATACTTCAGGCTATTTCTGATAACCCTGGTGACTCAATTGTTCAAAATGGCAAAAATCATGTTAGACACTTCCTGTGTCTAACACAGGGACTAAGGCGGGGAACTTTCAGAAACTTCCAGATGAATGAGAAAAACCCAAGTAGTGTCACTCAAGAACTATTGCTCTGACAGTTTGTCTCTCTCAAAAATAAAGTAAGTTTTCTTTAACGAATAACTGTTGAAAATTGATAGAACATGTATGGTTTTCTCCAGCTCTGTGGCAGATGTGGTATTTCTGAAACTACTGTATTTGTTTCTCTAACTTTTCATATAGGCTTTTCCTTTTTTTGTGTTTTGTCACAGTGCAAAAAGTGACACTGAGATTCTCTGTCATTATTTCCATCATTATGTGTCAGTCATATTTAAAGTGAGAGCTAATTATTTTTGAACAAAAGCCTCTTGCTCAGCATGAAGCATGACAAACTTAAATTCTGGTGATAAGTTCTGCTACAATTCTGAGGCTCTCTCTTCTGTATCTGCTTTCTCCTATCCACTGCAAGGTGTCCAGTAAATCAGATTCAAAACACTCTCACCTTAAAACCAGAGCTGTATTAAAAATTAGTGAGAAACAGTTAAAATAATTATTTTAACATATTATCAGCTCACTATAGCACCCAGTACTCCTTAAAAGACCATTGTGTAATTCCAGGTTCTACACACATCCTCACCTGATTTCACTGAACCTTTGTCTTATTCCTAAATTCCTGTGATTAAATAAACATGTAAAGAACATAAATATCCCATAAGAACACAGTGACCTGGACATCTCAGCAACATTTCCATATTTATCTTCATAATCCTGAACATTTTAAAATCAGACAGAAAAGTGCCATCAATACACCAGTACAGAAAACACTGAGCCGAAGGCAAACAGATCCCATTGAGGTTTTTGGCTGGCACAGCTACAAACCCTCATTGCCAAATTGTGCTGGACATGGAATGGGACAGTCACCGCTGCAGGGAAGGGGAACAGTCACAGCTGCAGCACGGCAGATCTTCGCTGTAAATTAAAAGGCTTTTCTATTTAAATAGGGAAGCGTTCTAGGGAACCAACTCAGCACAAGCTCTTCCTGTGTAAACAATGGATAGGGGTTTCCACTCTGCTCTTGCCAGGACACTCACCACGGCTTTTACAAACATTCAAATAAGCCTGCAAAATCACCCTATTTCCGATAAAAATCCAGGAAAAACGATTTGTCGTTCCTTTGGGAAGCCAAGGAGTAACAACAACATAGACAAAGCTGAGCTTTCAAGTTTTAAGAGAGGCACTTGAGATTGTTGTAGAGATGGCAGTGAATCCAGCCCAAGCCCAGGGGCACGGAGGTGACAAGGGGCAGATGACAAGGGACAGGTGACAAGGGACAGGTGACAGGGGGCAAGTGACAAGAGGCAGGTGACAGGGGGCAAGGGACAGGTGACAAGTGGCAGGTGACAGGGGGCAGGTGACAAGGGACAGGTGACAAGGTACAGGGGACAGGTGACAAGGGGCAGATAACAAAGGGCAGGGGACAGGTGACAAGTGACAGGTGACAGGGGGCAGGTGACAGAGGACAGGTGACAAGGGACAGATAACAAAGGGCAGGGGACAGGTGATGGGGACAGGTGACAAGGGGCAGGTTACAGGGGACAGGTGACAAGGTGACAAGTGACCCGCTCACACAGCAGTGAGCCACTGCCCGCTCGCCGCGCACCTCCAGAGCGGCATCACCCGGCCATGCCCGCCCGCGCTTCCCCCGCTGCGCTCCCGCTCTGCAGCGCTCCCGGCAGCCCTGGAGCAGCGCCCCGGCCCCCGCCCGGCCCCGCTCACCCGCCCGGCGCCGGTCACCGCCGGCAGCAGCACCGGGATCAGCAACGGGAGCAGCGCCGGGAGCATCACCGGGAGCATCACCATCACCGGGATGGGCACCGGGAGCAGCCCCGGGAGCAGCTCAGGGAGCATCACCATCACCGGGAGCAGCTCAGGGAGCATCACCATCACCGGGAGCAGCCCCGGGAGCGGCGCCCAGCGCGGCCCCATCGCCGCCGAGGGCGGGGCGGGGGCGGCCCCGCTGCCCCGGGACGGGCCCGGCCCCGCTGCGGAGGACGCGGCCCCAGCGCCCGCACATCGGAGCTGCTCCGCGGGGCTCTGGGCGTGCCTGGAGGGGCTCATCAGCCCCGGTCACAGAATCCGGGTTGGATCTATCGCAGTCCAACTCCTTCGCCCCACGGTACGAGGGTACTTTCGCAGCATTCCAATATTCCTTACTGCTCACCGCACCAGGCACTCGTGTGCCACACGCAGCCGGGATGGTACAGACAGACTTCACTACAAATTCAGCCCTGCTCCTGAGAAAAACTCTAAAAACACTAAAACTCTAGAGAAAACTCTTAAACTAGAGAAAAACTCTAAAAAGAGCTCCATGAGGTTCAAATGGCTTTCTTGCAAAAATATTTCTTCTGATATAGGTACTGAAATTACCAACAATTAAATATTTACATATCAAACAGGAAAAGCGTGGCCATGTCTTCAATCCATGTAATTTTTAATTCAGATTACCAGCATTATTAAACCAACTAACTATAACACATCCAGCAAGTTACAATGCATATGGTTCTTTTAGAAAGCTGTTCCAGTAAAAAAGATTAATTAATATACAGAGTGGAAATACACAATTACAGTCATTGCAGAACAGCCCCAAACAATCACAGCCAGGTAAATGTGTTTTTTCAGTTTTTGGATTCACTAATTGGTGTTCTCTAAAATGAAGTATGTAGTGAAGTTAAAACAGATGTGGAAAAGATCAACTAAAGTGACCAAGGCAGTGGAGCATCAAACTTACATGAGTAATACTAACATGAATACTAATATGAAAAGATGGGAACTCATCTTTGAGGCTTAGTTCAATCAAAGCTGAGATACAATCAATCGCAAAAGCAACTTGGTTGGAAAAGAAAAAATAAAAAGCAACTCACTGACTTCTGTAAGAACAAGTGACATTCACTGAAATAAAGAGGCCAGTTTAAAAGTGCTAAAAGTCCTTTACACAGTGCATGATATCTGTACTCTTTTGCCACAGGTGCTTATGGAGGCAGATTGTACTTGGAAATTCAAAAGAGACATGAAAAACTAATGGTGATATCGGAGAATAATGAAGACTGAGTCAAACTCTTTGACATCCTTAATCCAATGCCAGCTGCAACTGCACAACTGTGATGAGTGCAAACAGCAGTCATGGTCTTCCTAACAAATCCCTTCCTGTGACTGTGAGAGATGAAATGTGGGGCTCAAGCTCCAGGCTGGCCCAAGAAGGTGTTTTTATGTTTTTATGCCCCTGTGTGAGCTCTAAGACAGAAGTCACTGCAGCTGCACCGCTGGTACAAAGCTGCAAAGCAAGTAATGGGTTTTGTGGTTCCTTTTTTTTGATTATTAAGAAACACTTTGTCACATTGCTCATTTTCCATTGTCCTGTGCAAAAGTACAGTCAGCACTATTACATTGAACAATCAGCACAAAAGATTTAAAAATAGCATAACGCGTGCCAGTTGGCCACCAAACAGGTTTGTTTTTAAAGGATATGCAAATCAGTGTCACCCTGACTATTATGAACAATTCTAAAACAAGTAGATATTAACAATGTTATAGGAATTAACTGTTGTGTCTCTTTTTCAGTAGAAAAATAATTTCTTCATTTCTCTTTTTACAGGCTCCACATTTGGCTTAACCCATAGTTCATCCAAAAGCCAAATGTTCGTTTTGGCTTCCATCAGAAGAGGCTGTTTTGTCCACTTACTCATGATTTGATGTAGTCAAAAAAAATAAGAATCAGACTTCAAAACCTAGAAAGAATGGCCTAAAGTACAATTAATTTTATTTGCCTTCTATTTTCAGAGCCTGTGTGGCACCTTTTGATCCTAATTCCTCAAGAAATATGAAGTCCACAAACTTGAGAGCTATGTTTATGCTAAGGAAAACTAAGATTATTCTCATTTTCAATCAAAAGCCTATTTGAAACCTTGAGAAAATACCAGATATTGCAAAATAAATGCCAAAATTGGAAATATTGGAATAGAAACAACATAAGAGACATGGCTGAGTCTCGAGCTTGACTCAGAATCCTGGCCAGAATTTTCACAGCTAATAGAAATAACCAGACACAGATTTCAGTCCATTCCTTCACACTGAGAAAACAAGCTGTGAAACTTCAGCTGACATCCAGATGTCCTCTAAATTATGCAGCTTTGATTCAAACTTGTGTTCAGTGTGATACCAGGAGAGAGGGAAATAGAAATATTTGATGTCAGCTTGAAGGCAGTTTGGATGATGCTCTCATTTGTTAGATGAAATAGCTTCTAGCTCTCCTGGTTTGAATGTGTTTCAGTGTTTTCCAGGAGTTTCCCAATAATCTAAGGCACAGTGGGTTTATCTCCCTTGCCATAAATTCAGCCTTAGTGTCACACTGGATGATTCTGGATCTTCCCACACTACCTCTGGGTTGTCATTTCTCAGTGGCAGTGGTGGGGTGGTGAAATTCCTTTCCCTCCTCTTCCACAGGAACCATTACATCATTCCCTGGAAAAGACTCTGTTTCCTGCTCTGGGTAATGCATTTCCAGTTCCTCTTCCATGCTTTCCTGGGCATCGAGGTTACTTTCACATCCTCTGACAGCACAGTTCTTGCCACTGGGCACTTCTGAAACAGACCCCACGATAACAGTGTCGGCCTTCATGATGTAGAGTTTTTCTGAGGAAGGAAAGAAATAGTGCTGAGCATGGTGAACAGTCACTGCTGCCCCAGAAATGGCTTTTTCATGTAACATTTTTATCAGGACTCTGGGCATTTCAGATTGAATAGATTGAGTTTCCATGGGATTAAGCCACTGAGCTAAAGGTGTGACTACAGGAAAAGACAGAGTGCAAAAGGCAGAAGACATTCATGAGAATCTGTAAGAAGAAACAACTAATTGGGATCTAGATGTAAAGAATCCAAGATTTATGTTCCTGCTGTTTCAAGAAACAACAGGATGTAAAAGAAACCTTTGGGTAAAGATCAGCACTGTACAGAAGTTCCGGGGTCTTAGGACCTGCAAAGAAATTAGTTTCTTTCTAGCTCAGAATAAACTACAAAATTTTCTGAATCTTGGGTCCAACTTGTTGTCTTTAGTCCTTCCCAGAAAGGTAAATAAGGCCTTTTCAATGGCTTGCACCACTGCACTTAATTCAGGAGGATGCTGCACTTCAGACACTGTAGGTTAATTGCTTGGAGATGTTTGGATATGGTAAATTAAATCATCACATTCATCCCAATCCATCACTCACAGTAAAAACAGAAAGGGTGTTTGGTTAGGAAAGGTCAGTTTTTGTAATATGTAAAATAATACCTTCAAATAACCTCAGAATTGGGTTTGGAAGCAGTGCCAGAATGTCTCAGATGGTGTCTCAGGTAACAATTCTCCCCCTGTGAATGAGCTCTTTGCCTGACTTTAACTCCCACCCTATGCCATGGTCAAAGACTTTACAGGAACACATTTCATTATTATGAAACCAGAGAAGAAAATGATAGCTAAGTACAATTCTCATTCAGTATTACAGCATCATCTTCCAGCAGACACATTCAAATTTCTTCTGTAAAATTTACATCTTCTAGAATGAAAAGGAGGAAGAAAGGAATCTTCTGTCAAATTCATAGTGACTAAGACAAACATGAAAAAAAAAAAGAAAGCATTATATTCAAATGAATAGGTATTTTTGTGTCAAAGATCTGGAGATTCAGCACAATCTTTGTGAGGAGATCTGGACACTTTGAAGTTCAATAGTAATCTTGGAATGATACTATGTGCCATGTTTGAAAATTTGAAAAAAGATGACAAAAGGAAAAAACAAAACAAAACCAAGACTCACCAATTCTGTTATTTGTGTGGTCTCTGACTCGAGAATCCACAGGGCAATCTGGGGCATTCCCACTGCTTGGTGTCACATCAGTCACACCCCAGTAAGGACTTTGTGCTTTTTCTGTGCTGGACACCAAGTTATTGTTGGTTTCCAAAGGAAGGGCTCTGTTAATTAACTCCTCCTCTTCTGGCCCACTGTCAGTGGTCAGTACGATCTTCTGCCAATACAAACAGGAGAGCAGAAGTGGGGTGAGTGTAAAAAACACTTTGGACACTGCAACAGGTCCACAGAATCCTCCTGTGGCAGTCAGGATAACAGAATGTACTTCCCAGCACCACTGTCCCAGGGAGTGAAACGTTCCAAAGTATCTGGCAGGTATGGGAACTTCAAAACAGGCTCCTGCATCACTTAAAACCCTATTTCAAAATACTGTTTCTAAGCTGAATTCACAGATTTCTAATCACATTTTCAGGAATGTACCTCCTTTCCACTAAAGAAAATATGTTTTAGCTACCTCTTGAACTTTGCAAAGACCTGTCATGCTCCTATGGAAGGATAGAACAAGCCAGAGGCCAAACTGATTTAACTTCAAAATGCACTTGCCTCAGCAGAACATCAGGTAGAAGAAACAAGCTCAGATGACCTAATACATGAAGAATTAATTATAAGCAGTTCTTTAAAAGAGGAATCAAAATCTGAGAGAAGCTAAAGGTCCTATATCACAATTTTCTGATGGTTCTGATCTTCTGTTTCCACAAGGTTGGGAAAGAAAAAAAAATTTGAAATGTGATTTTATAACCCTTGCTCATGTCTGACTCTCTACAGAGGCAAGAATTGAAGCTCCTCACAATTCAGGAATTAACAATTACACACTGAAATTATGACAGCTGATTGCAACCAGAGTAACTGGAAAAAGCAGTATCTTGTGTGTGTGTAGATGCACAACATTTAAAAGCAAACTCATTTAAAAACAACAACAAAAAAATAACAGTCTGAAGAGTGGTTTAGCAGATCTGGACATTTAAAGATAACAAGCCTAATAAACTGAGAAGATTTAGAGAATGAAAGTGGCTGTAATTTCACTGACAGAGGG